CCCCGTTTGGATCCTTGGAATTGAATTCATTCTAAAAATTTAGGTATAGATAAGCTAATATGGTTGTATATGGAATATATTTGAATACTATTGTTAGCCATACAAGGGAGAAAATTATAGTTGTAGAGGAGAAACATAGCATGGTGATTATAGAATCAAATTCCATCTCTCACCCTATGAATTTGAGATAGCCATACAAGGGAGAAAATTATAGTTGTGGAATGTCAAATTCCAAACCAAATAGCCTAATCCATTAAGGAGATTCCAATTCCTCCAGAATGAAAGGATCCAAACGGTCCCTAAGAATAGTGTAATGAATTGTGACAATTCTGTATCGTAATATTCATATATGATGGTACTGATATGTTGGCATCTATTTTTCTTGAAAACACAATTTCTGTCCGGCATTGCTTTCCTATGCAATTTACATATCTTTGTTATATCTTAATTCACCAACTCTACAGCAGCATATATTGCTTATATATTATTATTTCTTATCATCCAGCAAACGGGCTCATGCTGAGCGTTCGACTGCTGTTACAAATAATGCGGGTGCTGACTTCTGGGCTATGGCTGTTGATGCTGAGGCATACTAGACTAGTGGTAACAGCTAAATCTGTAAGTATCACTACCCTCGGAAAGCACAACCTCATGAATCTATATTTCATCTATGTTTGGTTTTTCATTCGGACAATGACATATCTATATTTCATCTATGTTTGGTTTTTCATTCGGACAATGACATGCCATTCCGTCTGAGACATTAATTGTACCATTTTTGCGGTGGCTGCAGGTACAAAGCTGGAATAGTTCGTTCGTTACAAAGGAATAATCAAGCTTCCAGAGTTGTGCAGCCTAAGGAAAAGCAAAGAAGCAGCATTCTTTGAAGCGCAGTTTTGCCCTGGTATCTAGTTAGCTCCATGGGACAACCACACATATTTGCTTGTACAAATGTAGGTTTCAGACTTAGTATCTGGTGTGTCAAAACAGTCAGTCCAAAACTTCTGGTTTTAGAAGAGTAGCTTAACACGGGTGGAACTTAGAACGTCCTTGTGTGCGATAGACATCTGGTTTCTGGAAGGGAACCTGATCTCTTTGGTTCCTGAATGAAATGCTTTGTTTTGCCTTTGCTGGATGTCTAGGCTTCTGATGATGAGCTATGGCTGCCATATTTTTTCTTTCAGTATTTTCTGATAATGTTGCCTGATGAATGGTGCTGCTTTCGTGTGTGTCACCAAATCATTTGAAGCCGCATTGTTGTGCTGTTGCATCCTGCTTGATTGTTTGATTGGCAAATTGTAATTCATTGATTTGAAAACGTGGAACAATTTTGGTTCCACAAGCTAGATTTATGATGATTAGGAAGTTAGAAATTTTCTTTTCCAGAAAATGTAAGTGCGGAGCTCCATTCAGTCAAATCGTATTGCATAACGAGTTCATTGAAGATTTATGTGGTTTGATCTTGATGCGATGTACTCCTGGTGCTCATCTCGCACTTCGAGGAGTCAACAAATCTCAAGTTTAACAAGTTTATAGAAAATTGTATCATTATTTGTATCTGTAAATGAGTTTTTTTATGAAAATATATGACATGATTAACCTAATGATATATATTTGATATCATAAGGATTAATAGTTTTTGGTATACATTTGGTCAAACTTAAAAGTGTTTGGCTCATCGAAGAGCGAGATGTGCACTTATTTTGGAACGGAGGGAGTATTCTGAATCTGGGGTCTGTTCGATCTCTGCTCAAATGGCTGCACACAACCTCCCCTCCCCCTACCCCCAAGCTCTGCAGTCTGACGAGGACTGTGCTATTTTACTGCAGTCTCACGCTGATTCAGAAAGTTCCCTATCACTTGTTGCATCTCAACTCACATAAGAGCATGCGCAGATCATGTTCTGAAACTTGAGTGATGTGGAATTCAAACTCCAGCAGAGATCACAATGCAGCCAGCTCATGTTTTCCTGGGTGCTAATCTGACGTGATTGACACAGTTTGCTTTGTACGTACAGTGTTATTTCAGCTCATGTGTTTCCTAGGTGCTAATCTGACGTGATTGACACCTGACGTGACTGAAGGAAAACTTATGTTAGTATCCGGCTAAGATTCAGACACAAGCAGGCGTCCTTAGGCCAAATTGTGGCCAATGGTCTGCACCCTTTAGGCCCGTCCGAGCGCCAGGTCCAGTGCAGTTTGTCCTTGGGCCAACTTGTGGCCCAATGGTCTGCACCCACCACACTTTAGGTCCAGCACAGTTTCATTCCCGGCCTATACTTTGCAGTTGATGATAGTCTCTGTTTACTTGTTTTTGTAACCCTGCTTTACTCTTAAACATACTGTCAGTGCAGGCATGTGCATACAATTCAAATTCAAATGAAGTATAGTGCCAGAGCCGATAATTTATGTATGTGCTGTTCAGTGCTTCATTCTCTGCACGAGATCTGATATGACACGGGTTTAATTTGGCGCTGTCATGCATTCTGAACAGGTACAAGTAAACATATTCTGCCGTGTAGTTACACAACAAAGGAATCACACTTGAAACAGTCCCGGGTGACTTAGCAGCAACAATTGCATGCTTACAGCCCTGCTATATATAATATAGGCCTGCCCTGGATATCATTTGACAAGCGTCCCATAATAGATGGATAGAGCTTATTCAAACTTTGTTTTTCTCTGATCCATGAACTATTGGAGGACACCAAAATGTCACCGAGTTCCAATGTAGGTAAAGAAGATTCCAATGTTCAATCGGAACAATTAGACTTCTTTTAGGAACAAGTAGATTTCGTTTCCTCTCGCATACAATACAATTATTTTGAAATAAGTAGACATAATCTCGTCTGACTCTTCGGTTCATTTGGTCAACATAGCTGACCAAAGATTGAATCCTGACATGCAAAAGCTTTGTCTGTATCTATATTTTACTATTCTTAGATTGTAGCGCTGAACCTAGCATATGCAACAGTCGCAGCCTTCTATTATGATTTTCCCTAAAAAGGGGTGATAGCAGAAAGTGCCAATCTTTCTGCTAATAGAGCAAGAGAAACAAAACAAAACAAAAAAAATTACCACGCCAATGACAATGGTCATGGGTCTATCATGATATTTCCCCAAAGCTTGTTGTAGTAGAAAACTGCCGATTTATATAATAATAGAGCATGCGAAATTAACAAAAAACAACCACGGCAATGACAACAGTCATGGTTGGTTAGAAAAAAACACAACAAACAAGTGGCAAACCAACTCAAATTTTAGTTGGGGCCAAAAGGGAAAACTTTGCCAATCTCAAAGGTAGACCTCATATGACTATCGAGTTACAACAAAATTGTTGACAACCAAAATTGGATGTGTGAGGCTTTGTTAAGCTTCTCTCCAATAGTGTGGACCAAGTCTCTCTGCAGCTTGTCCGAGCTGTCTGAATCTATGACTTTGTGTGAAATTGCGTTGAAGAATGAGCATAGCTTTATGATCGGGTCCCGTACCTTCTCAGGGAGAACAGCCCCTAATTGCAACTGGCAGAAGTTGAGTCACGATAACATGGCAGTCATGTTGAATTTCAAATCTTCCATGTTGACCAGCCTCTTGATGTTAGAGCTGTAGCCAGTAGGCAGTTTGAGTTGATGAAAGAAACGTATATATGAGCTTCACTTTCTCCTCCTTACCCAAGGTCCATGATGCAGTCGGAAGCTTCTTTGACCCATCAGGTTGGAGTACAGGATGCAGCTCAGCCCTGACATTCATCTCTTGTATGTCCAAATGAGTTTCTAGCGAATCTTTACCCATGCTCGCCTTCGAGCCCATTAAGAAGCCAAGCATGTTCTCGCACACGTTTTTGGTTAGATGCATCCGCGTGACGAACAAGCATGAACTGGCAATCTGAATATAGTAGCGAATTCTTTTTCCACAAAGATTGCGCCGGTGCATGAACGCTTCCTGTGCTCTTTCCGAGGACAACTCTAAGTTTACTTACGATTTCAAAGATCTGCACCCCATTGAGCCGGACGGTCATCCTTTGTCCCGTCGAAAGACTCCTGCGGTACGGGTGACCAGTGGGTAACACAAGCAACTAAACGTGCCCTGGAACCCAATTCACGGATTCCCACAATGCACCAACGGTTAAGAAAGATATCTCGAATCAAAAGTACGAGAGAATACGTGAGTGAATAGCAACGCATAAAGTTTCCAATATGAGAGCATATGGAAAGCAGCTCGGGTAGTCAGTTGTTTAATCTGCTCACATTTGAAACCTATTCACTCTATCTCTCCTCCTCCGTCTTGGTCTGCTTAATACAAGAAATTCAAGTCTTCTAGTAACATTTCCAGGCTACACTTTGGGCCCGACAGAGGAGAGGCTCAACTCGGCTAGGAGCAAAGAAGCAGGAGCATGGTATGAGACTGTCACAAAGACTAACTTGTTCTTTTGCCCATTTATCTGTCGCCTAAATAGAGAAGCGCAAAATCCGTGTCATAAAGTTTGTAGATCTACTTGGTTTGAAAATAATGCTGCTCGTCCCTCTAGTTCTGTGTTTTCATTTTATTTGTCGTTTTGGGAAAGAATCGATCTCTGACTTTTCAGAAGGATGTACTAACCCTTTTTTTACTTAACTGATTCAGGAATTTGAACATTTGTATTAGCATCTGAAATCGATTTCACCTTCAAGTTTGACATGCATTTTATGTTTGAATTTTGAGTTGGAACCCCCGCTGAGATCTGAATGTGGTGTTAGTTGCTTTTGTTAAATCAGGAACATCAGTGAAATGGCTGATTATAAAAATATGCATTTACAAAAAAATAAACCGAGAAAGTTCTATTCATTCTGATCGTTCTTTTCATAGTGGGCCACAGTGCAATCTGATAAATGGTAATGAAAAAAAAATAACATGATAAATTCTAGAGTGACAACTCATATGTTGATGAAGTCTGACAATGCTCTAGTAGGCGTCGTTCCTTACACAATGCCTTGTCTTCTTTCAAAGGGTGATTATCGCCGCATGGGGAGTGTGGTGCAGCACATTGGAAACGCAACGTCAACAACCTTGATGCATAAGCTGAGAGGTCTGTGGATGAATCCTAGGGGCACAGTGCTCCGTATTGAGGCATTAGCATTGGTGGCTATTGCAATCTCCTTCTTCCTTGCAACCTGTGGGTCCTGCCGCCGTTGGTCCAACAGTTGGATCCTCCAAAAGGGCTTCTTGGTTGCAAATGCATTATTTCTGTCCCTAGGGACATACAGCATTGGCCTAATGCAATCTTCGCCGGTGAAGAGTGAGATGTATCCCATATGGGCCGTATCCTTGTTCGCCCTCCTTTGCTGCGTCGACTCGGTCACCATGTTCAGCTTTGACAACAAGAGCCAGGTCTGGAAGATGTTGTATCAGCTTTTCCTCTACTGTGGATATGTCCTGCTGATGAGTATATCAAGCATTTCTAGTGATATTGGTAGCATAGCCATTTGCGTTCTATCCGCCATCACTTTGCTAAAGGGCTTTCATAAGTCAATGGCTCTTTTGCTGCCAGGCAGAATGCGGAACGTAATCAGAGACACTCAAGATAGTGAGCTATTTATTGTGGGGCTAAGATATTTTACTAGGGAAAAGAAGTTGATGGTCCATTTACCCCTTGATGAAGATAATGCTGCCAAGGTCGCCAGAACTGATGTAGCAGTCAAGGTGCATGCTATAAATTCCATGTACAAAGGTGGTGAGCTAAGGTCCGACATCCGTGATGTGTGCCTCTCCTTGTCTCTGTCTCATATGCTGCAGCTGCGTTTACTTGGGGTCAAGGAAGATGACGAATCAATGATTTTTGACAAGTCCGTGTCGTCCAACTGGTCTGAGTTGAAAGGGGACGACGATGGGGTCATGGAGTGGGCCTTCAAGGTGGTCGAGGTCGAGCTGGCTTTCCTATATGACATCTTGTTCACCAGCAACGCGTTCCTGCATTACTATGAGGCAAAAACTGCTAGTATTTGGGTGTTGGCTTCGTTGGTTGGGATTTGTTTTGTTGGGGTGGTTGCTGCAATGCCTGGGACGAGGACCGTCCGCTGGGCTTCTTCTTCTTCTTCTTCTTCTTCTTCTTCTTCTGGTGGCCACGGCACCGCCGTCGTGGGCACCACAACAGCAGACCTTGTTATCACCGGAGTCATCCTTGGGTCCCTGGCTTTGCTGCAGGTGGTTCAGCTGCTGCGCTGTTGGACCTCGAATTGGGCCAGAGTTGCCTTTGCGTGTGATTGCGCAAGAAAGAGGAGGAGACAAGAGGAGGAGGAGGAGGCAGAGGTGAAGCCGCAGCAGGGAGGTGATTCGGTGCAGGGGATCCATTTGAAAATTAGGGGGTGGTGCCTGAGGTTGAGAGCGCATCTTCTCAGGATCAATTGGTTTGAGAGCTACCTATGGCAGGACAAGCTCGGGCAGCACTCAATGGTGGAACCAACCGGCGGCTGCCTGCAGTGCTTCACCAGGCCAGCACAGGAATCAACATGCGCGTCGGCGTCGCGCAAGTATTGTTCCATCGTCTCGGGGATGCTTGGGCTGCGTTGTGTGGGGCGAGAGCTCCTGGAGGCTCTGTGCGGCAGCGGCACAGGGGACACCACCATTGGGCTGCACTCTGATATCAAGGCATCCGTTGCTGGCTTCCTTACCGAGATCAGGTCTGACGACGCAAGTGCTTGGCCATCTCCAACGGTTGGAGATGAAAGGAGGAGGATTGAACAGATAAGCAAGCGTTCGGATAATGAATCTGCTCGCCTCGGTTCCAACTATAATCCTGCTCTCCGTAAGACGCGCTCTCGTGGTTATGATCCCCATCTTGAATCTGCTGCCCGTAGGAAGCTCTCGGTTGCTGAGAAGTACACATCCAGCGTGCTGACCTGGCACGTTGCCACGTGTTACTGCGAGTTGGCGCAGCGGCACGACGACAAGGGCTTCCTCAAGGGCTGCAGCACAGGCGCTGAAAGGGCAGCCGTGGAGAAGGATCATCGTGTGGCCACGGCTCTGTCCAAGTACTGCGCCTACCTGGTGGCTTCAGTGCCAGAGCTACTCCCTGGGCCGCCGGTGGACACCAAGAAGGTGTACGATGCAGTTGCACGGCGGGCAAGGGAAGTGCGGCGAGGCGGCGGCGGGGAGGACAACCTGCTGGCGGCAATGGACAAAATGGATACTCGCGACCATCTGCAGGAGCTCCGGGTCATGCTAGATGAGAGGTTGTGGATGGACCGCCCGTTCGACGAGGGGGTGCAGCTGGGGCAGGAGCTCTGGCGGAAGCCGCCGTCCGAGCGCTGGAAGGAGCTGGCGGGATTTTGGGTGAAGGCGTTGGTCTACGCCGCGCCGTCAGAGAACACGGAGGAGCACATGCAGCGCCTCGCGCAGGGCGGCGAGTTCATCACCCATGTCTGGGCCCTGCTGTCTCACGCCGGCATCCGCAGGTGGCAAGGTGGACTGGAAGAACCAGCGGTAACTCCTGGGGCCGGAGCTGGAGCCGGAGCCGCCCACGGTGCTTCTTCCAGTTACAGGCCACGCCACGGTCTGCGGCGGTCTGCCTCTGTCTCCTAAATAACAGCCTGCCACTGCGTCTAGCCCTCAAGCTCTTGCTGCTTCCTCCTGCTTTGCTTGACTACTATTCCTTTCATTAATAAATTAGTGCTGCTGCGCTTGTAACACCAGCTCCAGTCAGTGTGTATGTATGTATGTATGTACTGTTCCTTCTCCTTGTATCTATGTATGTATAATAAAACTTGAATTTATACTTCATTTGCTTCCTTCCCAATGGTGATTGCTTCCGACCTTGGGTGCTGCTGAGCTCTCATCCCTGGGTGCTTCTGTTTGTCACATGAAGAAAAAGAAACACACAATTCCTATAAACCACCTTATGCGCGGCCTTAGAACAGAGGTCTGGCGGTGATAATCTGATAAATGACAATTCGGTATGCTAATTATGTCTGACCATGCTTAAATTAATAGGCGTGCTTTCTAATGTGATGCTACTTCTTCCAATGGAGACTATCGCTGCATGGGGAATGTGGAGCAGAACATGGAACATCAACAACCTTGATCCATCAGCTGTGGAGGAGCCCTAGAGGCACAGTCCTCCGCATCGAGGCACTAGCACTGGTAGCTATTGCAATACCTTCACTGCTACACATATAGGCTTTTCCAGCGCCCCCTTCACCGTCGGTTTAGTAAAAACCGGCGTTGAAGAGGCATCACTGCCGGCTCGGATTGGAACCGGCGGTGATGGCCGGTCTGTGGCTTAAACCGGAGGTGAAGGTGCGTCTTCATCACCGGTTCTAAGCCACGGTGCACATCGATTTTTTATTTTTTAAATCTTTTTTTGGTATTTTTTTTTCAATCTGGAGCACGCAAGGGAACACTCAAATTTTTTTTAATCCAATCGGACGTAAGGTGCGGCCTACAGAAAATAATGTATTTTCTCTTGTTGTTTTTTTGAACACGGAATTTTTTTCTTTTTTCTATGATTTTTTCTGATATTTTTCCCGGCACTAGGAGCACGCAAAAGGAAACCACACCAAGTTTTAGCTCAATCGGATGTAAGATGTGGTCTACTGAAAATCGGACGTTGGCTTTAAAAATCGTGCACAAATTTTGAACTTCGAATAGATAATATCTTGCAGGCCGAATTTCGTAAAACTAATTTTGCCGAAACAAGTGAAGCTGGCAAGAGATCAAACAACTTAACATATGCATAATCAAAACTTAAAACAAAACCTCGATGATATCTAAAACTTTACAGTTAAAACACTCGGATTTGAGACTATTTTGATGTCTAAATGTTAAATTTAATATCCAACATATACTTAATATAAAAGAGGTGCGTCCATGTTATAGTCACATATATGTTCTGCTGACGAGCGCACAACCATCCCATTAAACCAATCGAACACCGCCGCGCCTGTTTGATATGTTCCGCTGATTTTTGCGGACGGATCGGTTCAAGTTTCCAATCCAAGTAACCAATCGCATGAACTCCCTTGACACAGGACCATCTCGTACTTGAACGCGGCCTAATCGCACCATACTATCCAGATCCTCCCATCCAGGTGAACCATCTCATACACGTTCAACTTGATTCAGGCAACCAAACAGACAGCCGGCACGATGGAGCCTCAGCTTCCCCAAGCAGCTGTCTGTCCTGGTACTGCGCCTGCTTGGTGGCGACAGCACCTGAACTGCTGCCGGATGACGATGCATGGTCCAGGAAACTGTGCGAGACCGTGAGCCAGGACATCGAGCGTAACGCCGACGCCATGGCGACGCGTCTGGGCAAGAGGTCCGAGTACAAGATGGTGAAGAGAGGGGTGAGGCCGGCTGGGAATGCAGCTGAGGGAGCTGGTTCCGGATGAGGACACAAGGTGGGCTCTCCTGGCCACAGCTTCTGGTCCGAGATTCTGCTGTACGTTGCTCCCTCTGATAACCTCGAGATTCACAAGAAGGCGATCGCCGTTGGCACCGACCTGGTGACCCTCATCTAGGCATCGCTCACGAATCCTGGGATCGTCACCAGGCGACGCATCCGCAGTGTGTTGTCTAGCTAGGTGCATCCATCCATTAGTGGGTACTATATCAGTATGTGCATCTATCGACTAGGTGCGAGTATATATTGTTAGATATATATTGTGGGCTTAGCCCATACAATATTTAATAATTAAAATAATTCTAAAGCCTATATTAAATAATGTATACGTTATGGTTTAATATCATATGGAATTTTGACGGGACGTTGACTTAACTTATATGGTTGGACTTTGTCAGTCTATTTTGAGAAGTTGACAAAAAGGACGAACGTGCGCCACCGCCGCCGACGCGATGCGTTGTTTTGCCACTTAAGACAATTAACACTACTGGACACAGCATCTTTGCCGAGGGCCTGAGGATTTGCCGAGGGAAAATGCTCGGGCACTCGGCAAAGAGTCTTTGCCAAAGATGCAAAAAAAAAAAATTGTCTTTGCCGAGTGCTGGGCCAGGGGCACTCGGCAAAGAATTTTTTTTAAAAAAAATAAAAACATCTTTGCCGAGGGCCCTGGATCTGGCCCTTCGGCAAAGGCCCAAAACCTAAAAAACCAACGTCGGCCCAAAATCCCCAAAATCCCTCTTTTTCCCTCCGGCCTGCGCCCGCGCTCGGTTCTTTACCCCCGCCGCCGCTCACCTCGCCGCCCGCCAGCCACGCCGCTGGCCGCCCCGCGCCTGGCCGCCCCTCCCCCGACCTCAGCTCCCACCGGTGGCCGCCCCGCGCCCCACGCCGGCCCCCCTCTTCCACCCCAGCCACCACCGCCGGCGGCCTCCTGTAGCTGCGCCCGGCCGCCCCGCGCCCGGCCGGCCCTCCTCCCCCGTGCCGGCCACCACCGGCGGCCCCCTGCGCCCGGCCGCCCCGGCTCCACCGGCGGCCGCCCCGCGCCCGGCCGGCCCTCCTCCCCCCGTGCGGTGGTGTCGGCCATCCACGGCGCCCAACTGAGGCAGCCGTTCGACTTCGCCGACGCCAGCTCCGGCGGCGACGCGAAGGAGGACGAGGACTTCATCCGCGTCGTGGAATACATTGAGCGGGCCCCGCTGTGTGTCTACGGGCGCGGCCGCTGCGTGGTGGAGTGGGACGAGCAGCGCGGCCTGTGGGTGTACGTCTGCCCATCGCAGCCGGTAAACCTCCACAGTCCACACTCACCTCAGTTGCTATTGCTTTATAAATCTCTTTCAAATGGTAACTGTTCTTGTATCTACATCTCAGTTTTTTTAATAATGTATTAATGCTGAGGGAGAGAGGGACGTAGGGGCATCAGCATTTATTTGTTTGCTTTGCAAGCTTCTAACAACCTCATCCTTTGAGTGACCTATTTGTATTCAGTCTGCATATCTGTTTCCATATAACAAGCTTAATAAAGGAATAAAAGAATGAGACTCCTGTTGCTTAGTTTTGGGGCACAATTTGCAGTAGCTTTTTCCTTAGGAATGCAACTACTTCTGGGAAAGCAGTACTGTTGAGGAGGGCAACTATTAATATTTGGGGAGACAAACTATGTGCTTTTATGGGCACAACAGTTACCAGTTCAGAAATGCAACTGCTACTTGTGGTCAGTTGCCCAACAGTTGCAAGTAATCACACACACATTTGCAAGATGCCACCAAGAGCTCACCGTCTGAATACAACAGCTACAGACAGGTTCTACTTGAATAGATAGTATAGTAGTACCAATGCAAACTAGGAAAACTTTAAGATTTAATTGCAGACTTGTGGTCCAACCAACATTGCTGAGGTTTCCACCTTGGGTCAGATGGCAAGCTAAAGCAACATGATGTAGTGTTACGTAGAGTTCAGGATATGCTACAGAAGAAGCATATAGATTTACAGTTGCTCTGTTTACAGCATGCAAACAATCAACAAGTGTAGAGTTTTCGTGAACCACACAAAAACTAGATGGCCACACTGAAGAATTTTTCTTAGTTTTATTTTAGTCAGCCTAAGACAAGCATGTAACTATATCCGAGTGCTAGGAAACAAATAAACAATCAGAGAAAATGCAAATGTTATCTGCAATATTTCAAAGTTCAATAATCTGTTAGCTAGCTGCATGCTCTTAATCCAACGATTAAACTACCTAGAGCATAAGGAGGTGCAGCTGCAGCCCTCATCAGACAGACAACCTATGCTAGAGTCTACTCCTAGTAAGCAGCCGTCGTCGATAGAACTAAGCACAGGCAGGAACCAGCAAAACCATGCAACTGACGTCTCCCACTCCCAGCAGGATAAACATGAGGAGCACCCTAATATTGGCACGTTGCCAAATATATAAATCTGACAGTGGAGCTCTCCTGTTGTGAAGTCTATCATCGCACAAGAGGTAGTACAGCTAGCGAGCTCAATCATGCACACACACAGCGCCAGGGGGCAAAGTAATTTATCTGAAACCAATGTCCCTTCAGACTGTCACAGCCTAGTAGGCAAGTGTTGAAAGAAAAAAATGCTGAAGGACATGACACAGTCACACACACTCAAACAACCATGGACCATTATATTTGGACACAATATATGCAAAATTCAGAGATAAGAACACAACAGAAGAATATAATCTAGATATGACGAATATTGGGCATCGAGCTAGTTTTGTTCCTATATATTCATTGTGAGATACGACGAATAATAATCTGGAGCTGAGTAAACAAACCAACAATGTATATTGTGCTAGTTAGTAGCTGCATGCTCTTAATCCAATACTAAACTACCTGGAGCTTAAGCAGGTGCAACTGCAGAAGCACAGAGCAGAGGCAGAGCGGGCACCTGCTCAGCTGCTCCTCCACCCTCATCGGATCACTCCCCAACCAAAAGCATAAAGCTACGACAATACAAATAAAACCTCCTATTTTTTCTCCTCTTCTCTCCTCTCTCTGCGCTACTTGGCGGTGCTGTCCCGGGCCCAGTACCTTGAGGTAGATGAAAAACATTAATAATGATTCGTTTTGAGATTAAGTCGGTTTAATTTTATCTTTTTCTATGTCAAATAATCGATGACTAGTAGGTGATTCCCTGGTGGTGCCGATCCCACTCC